TTTTTCTCTTTGGCCTATACTCTGCAGAGAAAGACTACCTACCAACAACGACATCACCGCAGTGACAACGAAAACTACTAATATATCAATACCCGACTATTTAATTTTGTATAATTTAATCATTTAGTCCATTAATTTACTAATAATAAAAAAAAATCGTAATAGTTATAATTATAATACAACTCGATGGACTAAATAATTAGTTAACCTCTATTTATTTACTTATTTTTATTTTCCCCTCTCTCTCCATATATCATAAGAAGCTTTTGCCTTGTGCCTCTCATCACATCGCACAGGCAGGTCAGAGTTCATAGCTAGTCAATGCCTGCCGAAAGAGTTGGCTGTCACGGTTGGTAATGTTATGATTGATTGGTTAATATTTAATTTTTATATAATTATTTCATTAATTTCTAATTATTAGTCAATAAAATTATAGAATTATGCATGATCAATTTCCACTAGCTATGCCTGTAAAGATGACTGATTTTCTAATATTTAATCGATCTTCTTAATTTGGTAGTCCACGTAGCCAAGATAGAGAAAATTTTTTAATATTTTTGAAAATGAAATTCTCAATTAATCTTTGTTTATAACAAGTTGACTGTTCTTTTTTTTTTTAACAGGTACCTTAGTAGTTCAAGATGTTACTTGCAATTGCGTAGTGTAAATTTCAATTGATTTATTGGAATTACTAATTCTATGATATATATAATGCTTGCTTAGAAAAAAAAAGAAAAAAGAAAAAAGAAAATGAAGACTGCACTATCCTTAATTGTAAATAGTAATAGAACTTGGTGTATGCAAAGGTTTATATATAATAAAAAAAAAAAGGAAAAGAAAAAAAAGCTCTTATGTAAAATGTTGAATTTTCACATTCTCACAATTTGAATTTGGAAATGAAACACGTGACAAATTGCTTGTTTTAATTTACATTTCCTAATTTGCCTTCTCCAAGTCATCAAAATTGAAGAGTTACCTATTTTTCAAACCACATCTAACATTCATAATTATGACTAAAACATTGTTTTATATTGATATTATATAGTATGATTAATTTATTATATGCATGTCCAATCAAAATTCCAATTTTCTCCTTTTTCAACTACCCACTAATTGAGTAATACTTTTCAAAAAGTTTAATGAGATTCTGGTTCTGGACCATTCCTAAAGCTAAAAATGGTCTTTCTCTTTCTTTTCTTTCCTTTGATTACTTCTCCCACTTTGCTTTTGCTAAAGAGGTTCAAGAATAATGCTAAAGGATTCCCATTTAATAAGCTACTCGTTCTCACCACTTATTATCATCCTCCCTTTTCAATTTACGTAAATTTAAATAGAAATTAGAGATCAAATAAACTCTGACCACACTAGACTTTAGGTTGCTACATAAAAAAAAGGTTAATTATAAATTTAGTGCTTAATTTCCGAAAATTTTTTATTTCAGTATATCAACGAAAAATATTTACAACTAACTGTCGGAACTGATTAATTTTTTTCAATATGATGTCACCAACCTGCGTGGCTCATTGGAAATATGAATAAAACACGTGGGCCCACTAATTATTAAAAATGAAACTGAGTAGGAAGCCAAATAACATGACACTTTAGATTTAACGTATCAAGCGGTAAAGTGCAAACATCAAAGGATAAAATTACCCTTAACAAAAACCCTACTCAAAACCCAACTCTCTCTCTTTCTCAGCCTCCTCAATGGATCACCACCTCTCAACTTTTTTTTCCTGCATTGAGGAGGTTGAGAAAGAGAGTGAGTTGGGTTTTTGTTAAGGACAATTTTGTCCTTTGATTTTACACTTCACTGCTTGACACGTTAGATCCGACGTATCATGTTATTTGGCATCATACTCAGCTTCATTTTTAACAATTAATGGGTCTTATGCGTCTTATTTATAATTCTGGCAAACCACGTAGGACGACACACTAGATTGAAAAAAATTAATCAGATACTTAATTACAAACGTTTTTTGTTGAAACATTGAAATAGAACATTTTCGTAAATTCAGACACTAAATTTATAATTAACCCAAATAAAAATTAGAAAAAAAGGAATTCAAAGAGGCCCATTGGAATTTGTTCACGTTACTTTACTTGGGCCCATGTAAACCCAAACTCATTGATTGGGCCTGTCTTTTAGGTAAAAGGATGACTAGAGTGAAGGGACAATTTTTTATTCTTTTAAAGCAAAATGGAGGGATCAATACAAATATTCACGTTAATTTTTGTCATGGGAACTAAATTCGCATGAATTACTTTGTGAATTTGGTACACTCTCATAATCAAATATAATTCACATGATAATTGTATATTTTTTAATTTCTTATTTCTCATAATAATAAAAAAAAAAAAGACAGTTTCAAATAGTTTTAACTCTTTAAAAAAGAAAATTATCTTATCTTGTTATATAATCTTAACATTAGGAGGTAATCTCTAATGTTTAAAAAAGTTATAACTCACTTAAAATTTTATAAAAAACGTATCCCATCAAATTTCAAATTACGAAGTGAAGATATATATATATATATATATATCCTCAAACAAAATGAAGAAAGATATAAATGCATGTGGATAAATCCATAACCTTCCCTACTAAACTCCATTAGAAAACAGAAAGTACATCAAAATGGAGATTGTATAATCCACGATGTCTTTTTGTCCGTGAGCTTCTTAAATGCCTCTCAAAAAAAAAAAAAAAAAAAAAAGTAACGCTCCATTAAGAAAACAAAAAGTACATCAATAAAATGGAGATTGTATGAATCATCGATGTCTTTTTGTCCGTGGAGAGAAGCTACTTAAATGCTTCAAAAAAAAATAAAAAAAAAAAGGCCAAAAGAAAGAGAACAACCCTCCAGAAGCTCACGTAAAGCAATAGACCCGCCAAAAACATTAGTCCATAAATTAGTTTTGGGTCCGTTATGAATCACTAGCTCAATCACAATAAATAGATGACCAAAGCTTAAGAAAGCAACGATTTACTACATTAAGTCTTTCGAATCCCTATATTTCCACGGTACACAACATTCAAGATTAACAATATTAACATTGTGATCGAGAAACAAGAAGAAAAGAAAGAACCATCAAATGGGAGTCCGTTCCCCACTTTCCATTTTTCCACTTATTGATCCCTAAAACCAAAACAAAGCATCGAAAGGCCTTCCGAATCCCATCATTGCACTCCATACCTTCACGGTTAATCTAATTTAGATTATGTGACACGCAGAGCTCAAAACCCTAAATAAGTTTTCCAATCAACAAAAGGAACTTGGAGTGAAGGGAACATAAAGTACACATCAAAGTTTTGAAGGGTACATCAGTTGTCAATCAGCGCACCGAACAACTTGCATATATGTTAATTATCTAATCATATGAATTTGATCAGTCAATTATAGTTATGATTCGCAATCCAAATTCGAAAAAAAAAAAAAAAAAAAAAAGACCAAAGAAAGAAACAACCTCAGAACTCAGAAGCAATAACCGCCAAAATTAGTCCAAATCAGTGTCCGTTATGAATGCCTAGCCAATCACAATAATAGATACCAACTTAAAAGCACGATTTACTAATTAATCTTTCAATCCCTATTTCCAACGTAACTAACATTCAAATTAACAAATTACAGTGATGAAAACAAAAGAAAAGAAAAACCATCAATGGGAACCGTTCCCCTTTTCCATTTTCACTTTATTGATCCTAAACCAAAACAAAGCACCACCTTCAAATCCATCATTCACCCATACCTTCACGTTAATTAATTTAATTATGGACGCAGAGCTTCAAAACCCTAATAATTTTCCATCAACAAAGGAACTTGGTGAAGAACATAAGTACACAAGTTTGAAGGACATCATTGTCAATTCACCACCAACACTTGCATTATGTTATTATCAATCATATGATTTTGATCCATCATATATTATGATCAGCAATCAACTGGTGAAGCATGCAGCTTCTGTTTACCTTCAATCTGCAATTCTTATGACCAGAAACCAAAACTGTTTTTTGAGATTCTGGGACAAGGTTAAGAACAAGCTTGCTTCAATTTCATGGTGGCATGTGAGTTTTTGTGACCCTTTTTGGGCTTGCTTTTGGCCCATGCGCCATTCTCCATTCATTACAGGTTAGGGTTATTTTTCTTTTCTCTTAATTAGGCACTAATATTTTGTTTTTGCCCTTCATTACTCTATTGATTTGTATCTTACTGAATGTGTATCTTTTGTATCTCAATTTGTAAACTAAATGCCTGATATTGTTAATTATCTATTGTAAATCTAATATTGTAAATATTATATCATAAATTCTGTTCTATCGAGACTTAAATTTTGATTATTCTTACTCTGGAGTTCATGGCACGCTAAAAATCATCCGCTCAATTTAAACGTGTTTTACAACTTGAGATATGAGTGGATAAAGTCGGAATACTTTTTAAAAAATTTTTAATTTCATTTATTTGATTCCTAAATGGAGCTATGACTTAGACGAAGGCAAGCTTTTTCCATCAGTTTGAACACCCTACATATTAAGATGGATATTGGCAACTGCAAATCAAAGGCAAATAATTTAGGAAAAGAATATGTTGGAGATATATGTTTGACCGAACAGCATAGGGAAAAAAAAGGCAAGGACCGGACCAAAGCTGAGGCTAACTGGCCAAGCATGATCTGACGGGGTCACTTTCCCAGATTGCAGCAGGTAAGTATAGCAACGAAAGCTACTGACTCTGACTCCTCTTTCAAAACGACGGCGTCTCAGACGCTCCTTGTCGGCTTGTCGGTTACTCTTTTCATATCCATTTCTCTCTCTCTAGCCAGGCCCAGATTTAAACATTGCTTTCTTCTTTTGGGCCTGGACCTTTATTACCCACTTAAATTTACTTGACACTAATTAATTAATTAATTAAGTAATGATAAAAGCTTATCCATCTGTTTAATTAATTAATTAAATCTAAGCCGTTGAAGTATCTGTACGAAAGGCTCATGCGATTCCTTTCTCTTCAGTTATTCATCTCTCAGGTTTTTTTTAACATTGGCGTGACTCTCTCTGTGTAAGAATCCTTTTCTGTTGGGATTTCTTTGGGTCCCAGCTCATTGTATGTGTTTTTAGGGTTTATAAAAATAGTATTCCTCTCTTCTCTTCTCTTCTTCTTCTTCTTCTATACAGAGAGGATTTATCTGCACGTCAAAAGAAATGCTCTGCAAGCATGCCCAGAAATAAAGCTTGATGATTATGGCGGTCTTTCTCCGTACAATTGCATTGAAACAACAGCAATAATAAGCATATCAGAAATCGATCATATCCGTCAGAGTTTGCCGGGTTCACAGAAACGTCCCTTTCCCTGATATTACTCATCAGGTTTTTGATGCTCTTTTTCAATTTTCTATACTTCTCTTCAAAAATCTTTATTATATATAAAAAGAAGCCAAACCCTACTGTCTAATGCTGCGATAAGTCAATACGATAAAAACAACTGTTATTCTGTTACTGTTTCTTTTTTCTCTCTACTTTGACCATCGATTTTCTTGATCTTTACTTTCTTTACAATTTTCATTAAGCTTGAAATTTGAAGAAACACCGGAAATGGCGAGCAGTGTAGCAATCAACAGCGAGCCACCGACGTCGTCTTCGTCGTCGAAAGCAGTGAAGGAGCTGGAGAACCCATATGAGATGGTTAGGCAAATGGCGTCCAGTAACGCCGTCGTTTTGTTCAGTATGAGTGGTTGCTGCATGTGCACTGTAGCCAAACGCCTTCTATTTGGTCTGGGCGTTGGACCTACCATAATAGAGGTTGACCACCACTCTTCTGGGCCTGACATCCAGGCCGTTCTCTTTCAGATTTCATCCGACGGTCAGCAGCCAGTTCCGGCCATTTTTGTTGGTGGCAAGTTTCTTGGTGGCATTGAAACGCTCATGGCGTGTCATATTAATGGCACATTAGTGCCTCTTCTCAAGGACGCTGGTGCTCTTTGGCTCTAATTAACTAATTAATTCTCATGAATTAATTAATCTAATATATAACTCATCTTCCTTGTTTCTTTTCTTTAATATTTTCTTGCTAACTTCTTCTTTCTCTGAGTGCAGTATGTTTAATGTACAGAAGAAAGTTACATTTACTTTAACAGTTTGATGCTTTTCTAGTTAATGACCATTAATATCACATTGTACGTTATAAAGTGCAACTTTTATATATAAAAAAGTTATTTCTACACTTTTCTTTTCTTTTTTTAGTAATATAAAGCAGGATGTTATATTGTTATTATCTGATGTTGCCGGAAAATTTTGTATGGTTGGCCGGCGGTGTAATGAAAATTAAAGTCGAAAGCTTTCTCTCTTTGTTTTTTGGTGCAAAATGCTAAAGTTTTTAGCGTCAGTGAAGAGTATAATTGTTAAATTAATATCAAGGGCATGATCGAGAAATTAATTAACTAACCCTAAGTTGACTAACGGTCTCTACAAATTATACTTAAAAGCAACTGATGGGTTTAAGTTTTATTAATCAATTATAAATAAGCTGATGTTTAAGCAGAATACTGATGGTTATATTAATTTCCACGATATCAATTAGAGTTACTCTTACAATGGTTAAAAATGCAAACCATCAGTCAATGATTTTACACTGGCGATATTAGTAAAAAGGGAAGTGCAGTATGAATATTATGGGATTGGGAATCAAATTCCTCTTTTGTCAGGCTCTTAATTGTCTGTAAATTAAAAATCAAACAGTTAAAAAATGACATCACCCATTACATTTGTTCAATGTACTGTTAGGTTGTTGATATGATTTTAGAGTTCATGCATTGTATGACATGATCACATGCAGAGACTTATTTATATTGATTTTGGATTATGATTTTCTTTTTAACCCTTGAAATATAAAGCATGGTATTTTCCTTTTCCATATTGATAAAAAAAGTAATTAACTTTTCTTAATTACATAATGAAAAAAGATTTAATTTCTTGCATGTATTAATGTGATCTAAAATTAGGTTAATTAGTTAGAAGGTTGTATATATTATACACCATTAAAAAGAAGCAAAAAGGGAATACATTATATATGTATAGAATTCACATGTTGAAAGAAAATCACATGGACATGGCTATATGTGTAGATAATGCAGAGAGTGAGAGAGAAGAAGAGTGGCAGTTTGGTAGTACAGAATAGAATATAGATAAGGTAAAGAGAGGTTGCAGGAAAATGATGAGAGGTATCGTTTTCAAGGATTTGTTATAATCCGTTTATGAAATCATGAGCTGAGCAAGTCATTTTTTGTTATGTTTTTGACCAAAATGATTTTCTCATTTCCAGTAGTACTACCAATATAAAGAGAGAGAATACATGTGAATCTGATCCCTCCTCCTTCTCCTCCTCCTTCTTCTTCTTGTTCTTCCTGACACATTTTCCTCTTTTTGCTCATAATTTGACTCTGCTGTCAAACTAAACTATCTTCTTTGACCGTTACACCACATAACAGCTAGTCCTTGAAGTTGAAGTGAAGACTATAACTGTTAATATTAACTTTTGTATTAATAGAAAAAGCAGTAGACGCTTCATGATTAAAATGAAAATTAATTAAAATGATATTACTAACGACTATGAGGTGGACCTGTAAGAGAAGAAAAGGTTGCTGAAATAATATGGAAATAACAATTATTCCAAAAAAAAAAAAAAAAAAAAAAAAAACCAAAAAAAAAAAAAAAAAAAAAAAGACAGCCAGTTTGATATACCATTGAACCACTGGTCATTTGTATTAGTGTTATTAATTTAAGAGCTAAAACGTACAATCGTTTTGTGGACAGACAAATCAATAAGCTCAGAGAAGCATTAATTTTGAATATAGGATGTAAGGATATTTAGGATACGATTTATGGATTAACACAGAAACGACGGAGAGATGGACAATTTCCACTGGTGAACAAACGGCGACATACGTTGAGTTTAATGACACTTTACTTATAAATCTCGTTGAGGGGGGGAGGGGGGGGGGTGCTTGATTATTAGAAGTAAAGAAACCGCCAGAAAAAAAAAAAAAAAAAAAAAAAAGACAGCCAGTTTGATATACCGATTGAACCACTGGTCATTTGATTAGTGATTATTAATTAGAGCTAAACGTACAATCGTTTGTGGGACAGACAAATCAAATAACTCAGAAAAGCTAATTTGATAGGATAGTAGGATTTTAGGAGTAAACGTTTAATGGATTACAACAGAAACGACGGAGAGATGGACAATTTCCACTGGTGACACGGACGACATCCCGTTGGTTTATGACACTTTCTTTAATCTCGTGTGCTTGATTATTGAGTAAAGAAACAGCGCCAAGTTGATAAGATATTTGTAAGTAAACGACCTCTAAAATAAACGACAGCATGAAGAGTCTTGCTGCTATGAAGAATTAATACTGATGACACAAACGACAGACGTGTGTTTCAACTGCTTATGGGGCTTTCGATTGGCGGGCCTAATTAGTTGGCCCAGAGGTTAAGCCCACTTTTAATAGCTGTCTTCTGGAGTCTGAACGCCGGGTCTTTGGTTTCCGCACGACAAAATGATAAACAAAGTGCTCTTATGATTAGTTATTTATTTTAGAACTACTCTTTAATCAGATTAAATGATAACCTCATCTTAACAAACCTCTTCTTTTATCACTCTGATAAATTAAATTATTTCTTTAAGTATTTATTAATCAAACGCATAAAACTATTTGAAAATATCTTTTACTAATTTTACCAAACATTCTTTACTTGATGTATCCCACCTTATAGAAGTTCAATAATGCCATTGGAGTGTTGTTCTGAACGCAATCAAAGGTGGTGTTTGAAAAACATCTGATTTTATCGGTAAGGTTACTTGTCTATAGTACAATACAATCACTGAATCTATCCCCCAAAAAAAAGGAAGAAGAAAAAAAACTCATTGGAGATACACGTCTCACTACCGGTACAAACTGAAACGAAGTCTACAAGCATACTAAGACAGCCACAATGACATGCACATTAAGGCACCAATTGCAATATTGAATCCTTATGGCCCTGAAACCTTTCTATTTAGAGTCAAATTGGTTAGAGAGTGGTGGTTCTTACATTGATGAACAGACCGAACCATCGCCATATCTGTAAACATGGAAATTAAAAGCATATCACTTCCAACATGACACACCTGAAGAAAGAACAGGCAGTGCTCAGGACACTAGAATATGTAAAGATTGGATTAAAAGATTTTCCAAGACCACAATATCCTAAATGGGGACTATAGCATGACATAGATGGCATGGCATACACCAGCTAGATAATCAATGTAGAATATCTTCCGGAGAAATGACAATAACAGTAACCTTTTTTTGGCCCTAGCAAAATGTAAATTGAGGAAATATGATACATGAAGGACAACAATAATCCAAGTTTAACAAAGACAGTTAGCTGTAGTTTTGATGCATGTTTAAGCTTTTACCAGGCAGAAATGAAATTAAGAAGCAAAATCTTACTTGCAATATGCTTAGCGGGTTTTTTTCAGACGTTTGGGAGGCCTCATTGGCTCTTTCCTTGAATCATCAGGAGTTTTTAAATCCACAAATGGCTGCAAACATTTTCAAGTCACACGAGTAAGAAACTGAAAACAACATTTCACCATTCTGTACCAAATTACTACAATATTCAGCAGTGAAAAATCCTTCTATTGTCCATGAGTTTACACTCACCTACGTCAAAGATAGCAACTTATATTGATTAACAACAATAGCAACCATGGTTATGGCATTTTCCTAACAAGTTCTCACTACAGGCAACTGGAATAATTATACACAAGCCTTTAACTAGAGGCAAATGAGAGTTACAAACAATAAATCCCTTCACTTTCAGGTCAAAACCTGTCATTATATTTGTTATATACAATTTACCTGATAAGAGCACTACTCCTATCCCCTTGCCATTTCTTGTAATTATACCATAGAACAGTAAGTCTTTCTCTACTTCATCTCTAGCACCAGAAATTATTGGGAAGAAAATCAAGAAATAGTATTGTCCTGCCAATAACTATTCCCAATATTTTCAACAAGGGAGACTGATTGGAATATGTGGTCAAAGACTAACAATGGGAACAATGGGAAGTTTTGGATTAACTATACTAGCTGCAAGTCCTGTTATGCTGAATGTTGTTAGGCATAATCTTGTTTCTGCTTCATTCCTAACAAGACAGTATTTTCACTCCCTGAGACAGTATTTTCATGAATGTTGTTAGGCATAATCTTGTTTTTGCTTCATTCCTAACAAGAGAAGGGAATAAGAAAATCTCTCAACTCTTAAAGTTGAAACACTGTGAAATCTCCCATTACTTTGTCATTACAGGGAAACTTAGTTATGCTCTAAAATTTGCCCATTATTTAACAAGGTTAACGTGCAGTTACGACATTGTTCAAGAATCCTAATACGATCTTATTTATCAACCAAAACCCAACTTCAACTTACACTTAGAATAATAGCGAAGTCAAGAACCCAACTTATATGGACAACTCTAATAATCTAAGAAGTTACCAGGTCTCAATGCTGATAACAGAGTCTTCTAGCAGACATATAGATTTATCAAGTGATGAAAATATCATAATGAGAAGAATGTATAAAAAACAAGGTGACATCATTCTGACCTCTTCCCAGTTCTTTTGAAGTTCCAAAAGTTCCTGACAGTATGCAAGGCACTCAGCATGGTAAACTGCTGCCAACTTTTTTATCAAAGCCTTCCTCTTGATGATACCAATCACTTAGAAGAAAAACATGTCATGAATCAGATATAATGAGCAAATAACAATAAGTTCATATGTTACAATATGCTCAACAACCTCAATCCTTCCTAGCATAAATTTCTTAGCCACTCAATTTCTAAACAAAAAAAAAGGTCAGTTTGCTAGACAAACATGGAATTCTCAGTAAAGCAAATAGGCACATAGAGAAAATGCAGATACAATAATTGAATAAGAAAATGCCATCATCGCCAGGAATCAAGGAAAAGAATTTGGAAACGAGGCGTATAATCATAATATGTACAACGAAAACCAAATCGCATATTCAGTAATTTCTCACTATAAGAAGTCACAATAACAATAAATATTATTCTATAAAAGTTCAGGTCAGCACAGCAATTTCATCCCAACACGTTATGTAATGAACGAATAGCAAGAAAGCAGCAAAAACCCTAAAAGGCTAAAACAATAAAACGCCTAAATATCAAAAGCAAGAGAAAGAGAAAGGAATTTACTTCGACTAGGATCGAAAGGAGGAGGTGATGGTGGAGGATGAGAATCGGATTGCGTAGCTGCAGCTTCAGCGGCGGAAGCGATCGGCGGTTGAGACGGAGGAGGAGAAGGAGCTTGCTTTTGTTCTTGGCCCATTGACGGGAGATGCTTTAATTTCAAGGGTTTCGTTTTAAATTGGTATTTTGATTAGGATTAGTAAGTCCATGTTGCGCTAGGAAATGACCCAATTGGCCAAATTGTACGGTGGCCTGTGGCTCTGCCACTATTAACTGCGATTTCAGGAAAGTCTCCATTGTCAACAAGCAAAACAGAAACACCTTTCTGATAGTAACTGGAGGTAAAGATCAATAGGCTAATACGATGTCGTATCAGGAGGGACCCAGTTGCGACAAAGCGTTCGACTTGAGAAACTTGTATACTAATTACTATTAACTGCTCTTAGCGGTATTACTAAGACCCATTTGGTTAGTTACTTAACTACAATCTACAGATTATAAATTGTGATAATTTCCCTATTTCCCCAATATCATTGATCACTCTCGATCAATTTGGTTTAAAAAAAAAAGGAAAAAAAAAAAAAAAAAAACAATTCATGCATTTTTCAAATGATCTTAATTCCATAAAATCTCTCAAAGTGAATGTTTTTCATCTGAGATTTGATTTGCATGCAAATCAATTTCGATTGTTCAATTCCAATATATAAAATCTAGAAAGATTCTGAGAATTACATGATATTTTGGAGGACCTCAATCCAAACAATGCTAAATACAAGTAGGGATTTCTTTTTATATATCAGAACTATCAGCAAAAGTCACAATGCAGAACGAATAATTTTTGCATCTGGATATCATTAAGAACTAACACCATACAACTGAAAATTTTGAAATGAACAAACTTTTCCAGTGTCAAAATTGTTTTGTTGCATCAACTAGACACAACAAAAACTATAGCTCCGTTAGAAGATTGTTTGTTTCTCAGCTGGCAACGCCTTGAGATTTTGACCCCCACGTTTCTCATGCTACATTCATTAACCTTGCAGTTCTTCATCCGCTGCATCATCCTTTTCTTTTGGAATCCTGTTTCCCATCTTTGGTTTTTTGAGAGCTGCAAGACAAGAAAGCAATTAAGGGAATCAGATACAGTAGTTACATTTTTATATGAAAAATTGAGATTTGATGATATAAGGCAGGGTCTTCCAAAAGTGGAAGGAGTGTTAGGAGTGCTAGGAGTGCGCTCTTTGTTAAAAGCCAAATTGCTGTCATGCAGACTTACAAAGTTACTCCACTTTCAAGTAGCATCATGCCATAACATTTGTAAGAATACACAAGTAATTGGTAAAACAAATAGACTGAACATAAATTAGTTGAAGAAATCACTTGACTTCAGCATAAAGAAAGCACACATCACCTTCACTAGGACAGGAGAATCAAAAAGGAAGCATGTCGAATCAGATCATAAGAATGATACCAGCAAATAGGATAGTGGATTAAAAATGAAAAAAAATGGAGCAGACATTTAGAGAAAACAAGAGTGTGTATTCAACTGGAAGGAGAACATCAATCATAAACAACACTCACATTTAAGAGATGATCCAGCAAGACAAGTCAGCCTTGATTTTGTGTTAACCTCAGCCAATGGATTTGGTTTCTCCTTCAAAGCCATGCGAACATCCCAAACACGTATAACTCCATCTGATGATGCAGATGCGAATAAATAAGGATCATCGGCAACTCCATCACTCTTAGTAAGCACTTCGATACCCTTCACACGGGTAGAATGCGCATTCTCAATGCAATATGCAGCTTTGCCAGTGTGTGTGTCCCATGCTGTAAGATTCCGGTCATCACCACCAGTAAAAAGAATTCCATTCTGTTGGAAATACAAAACGTTATAAGCGAGAGAAAACATAATCACAAACAGAATTGTTTTTTTTAAAAAAGGACTCTTTTGGAGGAAAAACTAAGCCATACTGGTCGTCCAAAGGTTCATCCACAGTTATTTCGGAAGTTAAACTTTTCTCGTAGATGCCAAGCACATTAACTTGAATAATTATATGAATGAATATTTTAAAACTCAATTGTTCAATATCAATATGGATAGAAACAGAGGAGCATTCACGAGATGGAATAAGATAAGCAACTGATAGCATTTATATATAGATATAATATGGAAAAACTGAATGTAAACGAAAGGTGTCATCTTGGAAGACCCATGATAAAGATATTTCATAAACTGAAAATATTACCAAGCAAATGACTTTATCAAGATGAGATGAAGATGTGAGATAATTAAAATATCAATAATAATACGGAGGTTTTTGGTGAATAAGATATTATACTAACCTCTCCAGGTACAGCACAAAGAACCCGTTTGCGACACTCGAGCTCAGTCACCAACCTGGCATTTTCAGCCTGATGAATCCCAACCTTCTCCTCCGTCACCATAAAAAACCTCTCTCCATCCAAATCAAACTTAACTAAACTAGCTTCCTTTCCCAGTCTACAATAAAAGCTCCTCCTTCCTCTCACCAAATTCAACATCGCCAAGCACTCGTCTCTCCCCACTGTAAGCGCTAATTTACCAGATGGATGTACCGACAAGTCGTTCACACCCTTCTTATGAGCCCGTATTGTCTTCAGGTGGAGGAAAGGATCTGCATCGAAGATGCAGACAGAGCCATCGGCAGAGGCAGAGAGGAGATTGCGAGGGAAGGAAAAAGAAGGAGGGGTAAAGAAGGAGAGGGAGGTGATTGAGGAGGTGTGATGGTGGAGAGAGCCGAGGGAGGCAGCAGAGGGCAGGTCGTATATATGAATAGTGTCGTCGGAAGATCCAGAAGCAGCGGCGGGGCCAGCAGCAGCGGCGCAGGTGATGGGTGCGAGATGAGAAGGGTAGGAGAAGAGTGGGGTTAGGGTTAAAGTTTCTTGTGAATCATTGTGTTTCAATGGCTTGAGCTTAAAGCCCCAGATGAATTTCTCATAAGACCCTGCAATTAAACTCATCGTGGTTGTGGTCGTGGTAGCGTTGCTGTAAGCTTCAAACCCTGAGGGTTTATGATTTTCGGAATTTGAAAAACCCTATGGAAGAAGGAAGCTCGAAAAGGTTTTGATCGGGTAGTCGGGTTTAAGGAAAGTACAAATTATTACCAAAACGTCATTAGGTGAACGACAAGTCGTTAAGATCGTTAATAAGAAACGACAGGCCTTAACAGCTTAAACTTTCGAATCAAATTTTGTTTCTTTGAATTTCCACTTCCTTGCACTTGGCCCCTCCAACTTGAAAGACTCTTCTCAAACGGAAACAAGTCACCACCAAATGTAGATATTCCTTTGAAAAACCCCTTGAAAGGGGCACTTGTGAGTCTTGATATTAAAGTTGGGCACCAAATGGAAAACATCATTTACAGGAAAAAATCAAGAAATGGACAAAATCAGAATTCAAGAGAGTTAGTTCAAACTTATTTCTAGTTTCCTTGATTTCCAACTCTAGGTTCTTCAATACAGTATGTATATCATCCGCTTTTGGATGAGATCGATCAGCTGCATGAAACTCGTGTACACGCCCATTTACTTCTAGCCAGCTACAGCCAGGTGTTTTCTTCAATCCTCTATCTCTTAAAAAACTTCTCATTTTAGCAACTCCATTCCACTTTCCAGCTGCAGCATATATGTTTGACAGCAAAATGTAATTTCCAGCATTTCTCGGTTCTATAGATATCAACTCCTTAGCCGCAACCTCTGCAAGCTTAGTATCGGAATGAATCTTGCAAGCACTCAACAAAGGACCCCACACCAGCGCATCTGGTTTGAATGGCATAGTCTTTACGATTTCCCTAGCTTCACTCACATGGCCAGCACGCCCTAGTAAATCAACCATACAAGCATAGTGTTCCTGGCGGGGTAGGCAAGCGTAGGTTTTTACCATCTCTTTGAAAATTTCTCGTCCTTCTTTAACAAGACCGGCATTTACACAAGCTGTCAATAGACCAAGGAAGGTTATTTCATTCGGTTCTAAATTCAATTGCTTCATTTGGTTGTACAACTCAAAACACTGGGATGAGGCTCCATGCTTGGCATACGCGTTGATCATTGAGTTCCAAGCAATTACATCCTTGCTGATTTTTTCTTCATCAAAAAGCGTCCTGGCCATCTCTATGCAACCACATTTTGCATAGCTAACAAGAAGTGCTGTATTAACAAATACCATATTTGGACCAATTTTAATTGAGTATCCATGGAGGTATTTTACTTGTTCTAATGCCCCAACATTCACACAAGCAGGCAAGATGATAATAACTGTAATGAAATCAACAAATGGTCCTTCCTGTTTCATCTTGGAGAAAAGAGACAAAGCATCAAGAGACTTATCATGGTTTACATATCCTTTAATCATTGAGCTCCACGAAGCTCCAGTCTTATTTTCCAACAAGTCAAAAATCTTTTGGGCATACTGCAAACAATCACATTCACAGTACATGTCGATAAGAGAGTTAGGAACCGATACTTGAAAATCAGAACCATTTCTTATCACATGAGCATGCATTTCTTTGCCCAATTCAAGAGATTTCAATTTCCTAATTGCAGAAACTGCAGGCAATGCAGTAAACATATCAGCTCTAACCCCTGATCCTCCCATATACCTTAAAAACTCTAGGGATTTCTGAGGATACCCATTTTGAGAATGTGCAGATATTATTATATTCCAAACAACACAATCCTTCTCAGGCATTTCATCGAACAGTAACCTTGCATCAGCTAAACTACTCAACTTTGAGTACATAAACAATAAAGCAGTACCCACTGACACATTTCTGCATAAACCGCACACCAAAATCACACAATGAATGGCCTTTCCCCCTATTAATGAGCTCGAATCAACAGTTGACCTCAACAAATTAATCACAGTATCAGTGTCACGTTCAATTTTCTCCGTTCTCGTTCTTTCATAAGACCAAAAACTTTCCTTTGTATTCACAGTTTTGGATACCTCAAGTACCGAAGAATTCCCATAATTCAAATTATCATTATCGGATTTCCTATCAATAACCCTTCTTTTATTCTGAAGCTCATCAAAATTCCTATGCATCTCTACACAAGCAATATCCACAAGATAAAATAACTCAAAACCTAATTTTATTAGATGCCCATGAATTGCTTTACCATTTACAATATCCAATGAGCAAGAACATGAACTTAAAACAAATGGGTATGTTTGCTCATCTGGGTGTGTGGAGTTTAAGTTCATTTTCTGGTACATAAAAAGGACATTTTTAAAGTCACCGAATTTAGCCAAATTTCTCAAAATTGTGTTGTATAAAAGCGTATCGGGATCAGAGAGAGAATTAAAGATTTGTTTAGACATATGTAGAAAACCAACATTGGCATAGCAGTCAATCAATTTAGAACAGAGTGTTGGGTACTGGTGGAGACCATAGAGGATAAATCTAGCATGTACCTGTTGGAGGTGCTCTGGTTTTTTGCATAAATTTAAAAGGGAAGAGTGGACAGAGAGGACAGTGAATAGCCTAGTTTGGGCAACTGGAAAGAGTGAGAACTTGAGAGGGAAAATTCGGATAAGAAAATTGATTGATCGTTGAGCATGAAGCATCGTAGATTGGCAGTTGCAGCCCTGCAGGAAGCATTCGGATGGCTCCGTTGGGCCAATGGCTTTTTATTGCTACTGTTCATTGTTTTAACGCCAAATTGACTTTGCCGACGAAGAAAGACTAAACTTAATGATAATAATAATTATTATATTATCGTATACTAAACCACATAAAAAAAAAAGTGGATAAAGACTTCTTTTTCTTAATTAAATTTCTCATATTGTTCATAAATTTAAACATCAATTTGTTTTTTAGTTTTTATTTAAAACAAAAAAAAAAAAGAAAGAGAAAGAAGATTAAGTGTAATTCGAGTCAAAAATTAAAAATACTATGCGCATTATAATTTAAATTTTACAAATTATTGTTCATTATCAATGTGTTTATATTTATATGTAAAAAGTGTTTTTATGATTTCTTTTACGAAATAAGTGTTTTATGACTTATTTCAATATAAATGACTGTTTATCAATACTGTATTCATTTTACATAATTTATTTTATATTTGAAAATATAAAATTTTGTTAATGGTTTATGTTTTAATCACAGTTGTTAATTATTTTATCTTTAATTTTTTTATATTATCAAATTATAAATGGTAAGTCTGTTAAAAAAAAATTATACTTTATTAATGATAATCAGTTAAGCAGCTAAACATCAAAGTAAAAAGTTATTGGCTACCAACTGAGAAATGAGGCTTTTGGTCTGTTGGACACGTGGGTAGCTGTTGCTACCAACCTTTCCAAAAGCATACAATAACAGAAAATTACAGAGAGAAAAGTATATTATGAAATCGCATATTCTAAATTTCTTGACTCAAGCAATCCCTCGCTTCCTTCTCCTTCGAATCACAAACCCTAACAACTTTTCTCCCCTACCTACCTTCCCATTCCTCCTTTTCAAGTCGTTTAATTTTCGTCATTTTCAAGGTATTTCTCGTCTCGTCTCGTCTCGTCGCCCTTTTGATCTCATTTGACATTTAAGATTTTATTTATTTTTCTTTATTGTATCGTTTCCTATCAATTCCAGTGGGTGTTCCAGTCTACAATTCATCGGAATGGGAAATGACATTAGCTACCTGATCTTTTAGGTACTTCTTTTTTCATTTTTTTTTATTTTGTACCATTTTCTCTGTTTGGTTGTAGAGAAAATGTAGGTATGTAAGGAAAATTGTTCCTCGAGAAACATGTATCTATTTAGCTGAAGTTCTTCTGTTTTGATTGTGTGAAAAACATGACTCTGTTTGCCTAATTGAGGTTAATGCATGATTTAGATAGTTGAACCTTTCTTCATTTAGCAATTTGAAGTGCTTTTGTGTGTACTCTTCCTTTAGATAGTCGAAGTGTTTTTATTTATTTGTTTAACTTTTAGAAAGGAAAAATATGGCTGAGAAAAAGGAAAAGAAAAATAGTTGCCATTTCCTTCTGCTCAAATTGAATTTTTTTGTTTGTTTGTTTATTTGTTGTTTTGGTGCGTGAAATCTGTAAGGGAATTCAAGGTGATGGGGAATGTGAAACTTTAAATTTTGTGGTTTTAGTTGCTAAGGTGATTGGCTACCGGAAAAATAACCCTGGGTTAGGTTTTCAAGCTTTGAAGCTAAATTCTGATATTTGCATTTGGCCCTGAATTTGAATGAGCATACACTGACCTTTTTTTTTTTTTTTTTTTTTTTTTTTTTTTAAAGAAATAGTTGCCATTTCCTTCTGGCTCAAATTGAATTTTTTTGTTTGTTTGTTTATTTGTTGTATTTGGTGCGTGAACATCTGTAAAGGAATTTCAAGGTTGATGGGGAATGTGAACTTTAAAATTGTTGTGGTTTTAGTGCTAGGTGATTGGCTACCGGACAAATAACCCTGGGTTAGGTTTCAAGCTTTGGGAAAGCTAAATTCTGATAGTTTGCATTTGGGCCCTGGAATTTGAATTGAGCATCAGACTGACCTTTTTTTTTTTTTTTTTTTTTTTTTTTTTAAGACTATAAGATGCTTCTCATATAATTTTTTTTTTTTTTTTTTTTTTTTTTTTTTAAACTATAAGATGCTTCTCATATAAATAAAGTAAATTTCTCAGGTGATTATTGTTGGACGTCAAGGGGTTGTTCTCAAAGGATTTGGATTTTTGCTTCCTGTTATTACTGAATTTTGGGATTAATGGATGGGGATGGGGGGAGTACCTCATCGGATTCTACAGTAATTCGATCAATTCCAATAGGACCAACACTTTCTAGGAGATCCAAAGGTGATTAATCTTTCTAATTTCTTACCAGCTTAATAGCTCTTGATTTTATGGGCAAAACGTTGTTGTTAAATAGGTATCTGTGTATGCTTTTGTCCATTTTCTATCTTCTTCAGTTTGTTTTCCTAGTAACAATTGTATTATTTTGGTGGTAGAGATAAGTCCCAGACTCAAAGTAGTTAAATAAATAAGCGAACAATTAATAATTAATTCAAAGACAAAAGCAATGTCCTAGTACCATGTTAGTTCCATGGTTATTCTTATCCTTATCATTTTTTTCAATTATACGCAAGGGGAAAAGGCCCTGGTTGTGATTTGACTATGTAATATCTTGCTTTATGATTTATTCTCCTGCAAACATGTAATTGAAAATGAATAAGTTGGTAAAAGAAATTATTACACTAACTTCTGTAATGAATGCTGGAAAAAAATATGATCTAAAGAGGTTTTCCTATGATCCAGTTCTTCAATAAAAATTATGCCTCTTTCCTATTCTATACCTCAGCTGTCATGGGTGATCTTTTTCCTACAAGAGTTCAGATTTTTCTAGAGGCAGAATGCATGTAGAGGAAGAGATTGGCTTAGCATATCATGTTAATTTTTTTTAAAAAGGTAACTGTGGACTATTAAGAAGAACCAATAATAACTCCTAGTGTGGTCCATGCTTGTCTGTCTTGTCTTAATGTGGGAAATATGCTTGTGACCTTTATGAGATTATCAGAAATGAATCTTGTATTCATTCCTTTTCCATTTTAGGTTTCAAAGTTGCGATTAGATGTGCAGATAGTTGCAGCTGAGATGTGGTGTTTTGAACACTTGTCCTTTCTCAACCTCTCAAACTCCACTTTTTAGTATTTACTTCCTTTTGTAATATTTCCTGGCAGCTTTGCGTCAGTTCAAACAGCAAAGTCTTCCAGCTTGTAAACCTGTCTTGACACCGGCATGGGTGAGTGTATGAAAGCTACGATTGATATCTTTCTTCTGTCGCTATTATGATTTGTTTATGTGCTTCACGGGATTGACTTTTTTTTTTGTTTTTCTTTTTTGCAGGTCATTACTACATTTTTGTTGCTAGGTTTTGTTTTCATTCCTATTGGACTTGTCACTCTCCGTGCTTCACGTGGTGTAAATGCCTTCTCTATTGCATCAAGTTACCATAAAGCTTTTCAATTCTTTTGCTTGTGTTAAAGGAATCCATTATAACTTTGAGAATTTATATGATCTTTTAGGTTGTCGAAATTGTGGACAGATATGATGCAGATTGTGTACCTGAGCCATTTAAAGGCAACAAAGTGTCATATATCAAGGATACTTCGGTTCCCAAAAATTGCACTCGTATTTTGAAGGTTATGCTTTTTGTTGGTGTTAACTTGTCTTTTGCTGAGTCTTCATAATGAATTGAGGGTATTGCTATCATTTGAGACTCATGAAGCTCTCAAGAAATGACTCATCTAAATATTTTAGCTGACACTTCTTCCTTTCATTTTTACTTTTTAGTAAATGAGCTTTTGTCCGTTATGAGTTTCCTCAAGCTTTCAGGTGCCCTTTTATGGGCCAATAGCTTTAGAAAGGGGTTTTTCTTATTCACTTGGATTACTTTAGGAAATTTCTGTACATTTTTCTCATAGAAAGGGATAGTGGGAGGGATTTGTACAGGTTTGCTTTCTAACATGCGGATCTTAAAAGCCTGCAACTTATCATGCACATGATCACCTACCAAATTATTTAAACTGGCATTGCTTCTTTTCATGTGTCTCATGGATGAACAAGCCATCTCTATATGTGACTTTCAACTCTGAAATTTTATTTGTTCAGCTCAGAAGTTCTTCTGAAATCTTGTTTATGCAGTGGAATTAAATTCTTAGTTATTGCTGTTCATATTGAATTTTTTTTTTTAATTTGTCAATAGGTACCCAAGTATATGAAAGCTCCAATCTACATATATTATCAGCTTGATAATTACTACCAAAATCACCGAAGGTGAGAGTTCTTTCCTTCCATCTAAGGTAGTGATTAGTTGATTTCTTCATGTTGAACAAAATTCTGGCTAGTTTCTTCAGCAATAACTGGGGGCTTTTCTTGCTTGATCTGTGCAAATTTGTATGTCTTTAAATAACCTCAGCTATTGCTTCAACATCCTTAACTTTTTCTTGCATCACCACCTCCCGAATGGTTTGCAGGTATGTCAAAAGTAGAAGTGATCAGCAACTCTTACATGGACTGGAGTACAATGACACAAGTTCCTGTAAACCTGAAGAGTCCAACAATGGTCTTCCTATTGTCCCTTGTGGGTTGATAGCATGGAGTTTGTTCAATGACACATACACATTTATTCGTGGGAAATCAGAACTGATGATCAATAGGAAGAACATTGCTTGGAAGAGTGATCGGAACCACAAATTTGGGAAGCATGTTTATCCCTTCAATTTTCAGAATGGGACATTGATTGGTGGTGGAAAACTAGATCCAAAAATCCCTGTGAGTGTCAATAGAATAGGGCATTTGTTAGTTGCTTTTTCTATAATTTTTCGTGACTATAGCCACATTGGAGTAAATAGAAATGTCTTATGCACTGGCCTCACTAACAGAAATGTACTTTGTCACCTTTCCGTTATTTATTATATCCTCAGATGACTATCCTACTGTCATCAGTTGATGTATTTTTCTTAACTTGTATCTGATCTTTAAAAATGAAAGAAGTAGTGTGCATGATCAAAATCATTGTAGCATTTGGACCTATCCCTAACTTTGGTCTGCAAAAATCAGTTGAACTGTGATATGAAAATTTCGTGGAACGTGTTACCAAGTAATCATAATATTTTTCATACTTGTTGAATATATATGATTGAATGGTGGTATTGCAAGAAATGGTTGTTGAACCCTTTGTGCAGAATACTCAAAGTAACCTGAATATCAAAATCCAGGACTTCATTGTTTCTTGTCCAACATTATTGTCCATATTGTGCAGTTGTTGGGTTGTATATACATGATATACATAGAATTAGTGCTTTTGCATGGTTCTAATCTTGATGAAGCTCCATTACCTACATGTCTGATACAATTCTTTGATCCTTCTCTTCAGCCAAATCTTAATCTCTTATCTTCCTTTTCTTGTTTTGCATGGCTTTCTGGTCCATGTGGGTGCATTGCATTAATAGCTAAGCAATCAAGAGGATCTTATTGTCTGGATGCGTACTGCTGCTCTTCCTAGCTTCCGAAAGTTGTATGGAAGAATTGAAGAGGATTTGGATGCAGATGATCTTATATTTGTTTACCTGATGAACAATTACAATACATACAGCTTTGGAGGGAAGAAGAAGCTTGTTATTTCAACATCAACCTGGTTGGGAGGAAAGAACGACTTCCTTGGTGTTGCCTACATCTTTGTTGGTTCTTCTGCCATAATCCTCTCACTTGTTTTCTTATTGCTTCATGTGAAAAATCCAAGGTAATAGTTAGTTGATTCCCGTCATAATTTCCTTGAATCACTGCATTAGTCCTTTGCTGCCACATCTGAAAAAAACCTGGAATTTTGATTTTTATGACCTATCACATTGTGATATCTCTCCATCAATGTAAATCGTAGTGTGTTTTTTTTTTTTTTTTTTTTTTTTTTTTCATCTGAAAAACCTGGATTTTGATTTTTATGACACTATCACATTGTGATATTCTCTCGCATAACAATGTAATCGTAGTGTGTTTTTTTTTTTTTTTTTTTTTTTTTTCTTTTTTTTTTTTTTTTTTTTTAATTTCATACAAGTTAACATAAGGATCTACTTTACTCTAGCACAAGGATTTATTCCTATTATTGTTTCTTTTGTTTGGCTGGTGATGTAGTTTGTCTTGATTTCATTCCCTTTTCTTGTATTCAACATGATTATTTGTCTAGATCCGTTTTTGTTTAAGAGAAGAAAATTCTAGCATACCTTGCTCATTGCACCTGTATAATTACTATGTGTATATGTGTTCAGCTTTACTGCCTTGACCGGACATCTGAGTTATGACTGTTTCTCTGTAATCCGTTCATAATTAAATGTGTTTGCAACTATTGGTTTTCTGGAATTACCATGATTTCAGTAGTCCCTTGTGCAGTTGAGATTTAATGATCAATTTCTAGATACTGATTTCCAGTGAAATTTCTATTAATACAGTCCGTATCTGCTGCTGCATCATTTATTTGCAGGCCATATGGAGACATAACATACTTATCCTGGAACAGAAAAGGAATTTCTAGTTGAAAAGTTGATGTGCAAAATTCAAGTTATTTATTATGATTCTGGTTGATCCTATAGATTCGTGTAAATCTCGAAATTGCCGGAGTAATGTCAAAATACATCAAGCCAGAGACGGTGGATTTTTTATTTTTTATTATTTTATTTATTATTATTATTATTTTTTTGTGATCTGCTTAAGAAGAATCATGTTGTATTTTACCATAAATATTAGCTCAGTAGGAGTAGATTAGGCAACTGATCTTGGTCGAATATCCATATTAATTGATTATATATATATATATATGGGAAATTGATTTATTTTATGAATATATATACTGTTTTTTTTTTTTTTTTTTTTTTTTTTTTTTTGAAAAATCAAATGGCTTTAATAAGCTATCAAAAGCCATTACATCAGAATTTTTTTTTTTTTTTTTTTTTGAAAAATCAAAATGGCTTAATAATGCTATCAAAAGCCATTACATCAGAAAAAAAGGATGGGTAATCAGTATCCCAATCCATAAACATTGAAACTGCATGATTTTGACGACCATTGGTGATTAGCTTATTTGTCGGCAGAAAATAGTAACACGTTCATTGTCATGGAGTAGGTACGTCATTCCTTCTGGCTTTGAAAGAAATGACAATGGTAAATTCATACTATCTACCTTCTGCTATAAATGTTCTAGAATATTAAAGAAGTCATTAATTATTCTTTTATAAATTTACTTGCTTTTTCTTACATCTGCTAAATAAATATTAATTATTTCGAGAATTAAGTAAATAGGTAATTTACTCAATTACAACTATTTTGTTAAAATTGAAAATCTGGGATTTTTCAATCATTTTCTTAACAGGTGTTTGTATGGTATGCAAAAATATAAAAAGAAACACTAGTAATAGAGCAGAAATAAATTTTATAAAATTTCATTCGATCCATTTTGAATGTTTGGGCTAAAAGGTTATATAGTGTCAAGTCCGTCTTATTATGCATGGGGTGGACACTCGCTCTATTATTGCGCTAGTGGATAAGGTCAACAAAAGTTGACTCGACTGATGTGAGTACCCGACGCGAACCACTTTTCCAGCTTTTGGCTGTTTGCGGTTGTGGCAGCACGTGGCACCCATTGATGGGTGTGGTTGTGCGTCACGTGCGTTCCCCACGAATGGGTGTTGGTGGTGGGTCTCACATAGTTTCCCACACGCGTAGGTATATTAATTTTTGTCGGAAAGCACCCATTACCTTCCTCTTCATGATGCTAAAGATTTTAATTTTAATTAGATTTCGTTGTAAATGTTTCTTTTTTTCTTATAAAAAGATTTTCAGTAGAAATATTAAACATTGTTATTGATTAAATGCATCTGATGATATAGAGATTCCTATTAAAAATTATGATTCAGAAATGAAAAGAAAAACATTGCTTCTTCCCCAAAAACACAGATTGGTGATATTCCATATTTATGCCTTATCCACAAAATGTAATTGCTTCTTCCCCAGGGAATTCTGAATTGAAGTTTTCAGTTGATGCATCGCTCTGATATTGAAACCACAATAATCAACCAATAATGGAATTATAAGTTAAATATTTTATGCTCTCAAATTTTATTTGGTTGAAATTGAAAAATTTTATATGATGGAAAGAGTTTCATCTTTTCCTATCATGCAAATAGATAATCAATGTATTTTCAAAATAAAAAATTTTATCTATATTCAACAAAAACATGATAAATAATAGCAATATAGTATTCCTTAATTACCGAAAGCTAGATAGCATTTGAATATACAAAATCTCTTTTTCTTTAATTTCAGTCTAAATCTTTATTTATGCAATTGAATTAAGCTCCACCTCAAATTCAAATGCAAGTTTCTTGAAGTTAAAAATGGCATTCTGAAGGGACTGGGTTGATTCTCCACCAGAAAAAAATATTTCCCCTATTCCTATTTTAAAGATTTTTAAAAAAAAATAAAAATAAAAAACCTAAGAAAAGGACAAATCTTAAAATTATAACCCCAAAGTTTGCATATTTTCATGTATCCCAACTTCCTAACAAGACAAACTATAGAAAAAGGAAAAGGAAACGAAATAGAAAACTGCAGAAGACCGAGTCAAAAACTCAACATTCGAGCAGATTTAATAACAACAACCCGCCTTCCATGGCCTTTCCTTGGTTTAAAAAACAATCCTTAATTTAGCAAATTAATCACTTCTCCTTCTCCTTTATAAGCATAATCTTCAAACCTCAATAAACCATTCCTTTCCCCTCTCTCTCTATATATATCTCTTTCTACACTCCACTATTTACCAATCTTCTAGTCCCCCTATCTTCCTCCAGAACCCTTCATCACAGAAAAAAAAAATTCCCAATTTTCAAATCCAGAAAAAAAGGAAGTTCAATTAGTGGTACATACACAAATGGTGAAGGGTGTCAAATCTGTTCATTCTTTTGAAGAAGTAGCACCAATCCTTCTCACATCATCACACAGGAAATCATCAAGCAATTATCCAAAGCTAGAGACAATCTTTGAAGAAGTATCAGTTTCTCATAATAACCAAAATCTTGAAGAAGTTATTCTGCCCAAAAGAGTCGTTTTCCTTCTCCCTGTAGTCTTGGCTTTGGGAATGTATTTCTTGCTAAATAAATATGTGGACAGTGTTATTAGTTTATGAGAAGAGGTGGAAGATCATCAAATTTACCTTAATATTAGTTTATTGAGAAGATTGATGGAGATGGAGGAGGGGGAAGAGAAGGACTTCAACAATCTTGATCTTGTAATTAGGGATCTGCTAAAAAGTATTGATAAAACATTTGGGATGTGTTTAATCAATATGCAGTTGCAATTTCAATCTCATATTAGTGTATGTAAATTATAGTTTTATTGATGTTTTCCTTATTCTTTATTTATCTCTAAATCTTCTAATTAAGATTTAAGAGGCTGCTAATCACAATGTGGTTGAAAAATTAAAATTCCTTTCCCATCTGAGTCTAACACACAAAGTCAGAATTAAGTTCAATTCCTAATAACTTGATTTAAAAATGATAGTTCATCTGATTACTGAAAACAACAATGGCCTTTCAATTAACAATCATAAATTAATTCCCTAATTTCATTTAAGAAGAACCACTACAAATAGAAATCAATATATCCAAATTGGACAAAAATAGAAAAAATAAATAACCCATCAAACATAACAAGAATTACCTCCAATTATGCTCCGAATTCCATAATTTGGATTGTGAGAACTCGATTTTATTTCTATTTAGAAATAACAAATCGAGTTCTTATAGGTATTTTGGATGCTGCTACTGAAATTGCCTTTTTCGCTACTTTTTCCGCTACTCCATCCACTTCATAAAGAATTGTGCCCGGTTTAACATCAGCTGCCAAACATTTGAAAGATCCTTTACCTCTACCCATACGAGTTCCGGCGGGTTTTACAGTAAGTGGATGATCGGGAAAAATTCGTATCCATATTTTTCTTTCGCGCGGTGCATTTTTCGTAATTGCATCTCGCCCTGCTCTTATATGATTAGCCGTAAGCAAAGCCGGTTCAAGAGCTTGAAGAGCATATTTACCAAAATAAATACCTCCAAAAGCTAATCCTTTCATTCTCGTAATCGGATTCTCTCAGTTCCTGAACAAAATTATTAACTCAAATCAAGGGATTGTTTGAGAAATTCAATGAATATATAATACAAATCAATGAATTGGAACAAAAGAAATAAATGAAATCAACTAGTAGATAGAAAATAGAGAGAGATTTAGAAGAAATGAAAGGGTCACCCAAGACCAAGAGCGGCGGCTGAGACTAAAAACAGAAACCCTGGAGAGAATGCAGTCGTTTGTGTATGCTTCTACTCAAAGATAAAAATAAAAATGATAATGCAAATTTGTTTTTTTTTTTTTTGAAACTATTAATTTTTTTATTAAATTCCAGTATTAGTAATAGGTCAAATTTTGAATATATCTCAAAAATTTATTACTTATTTAATTATTAGTTTTTTTATCAATTTAATTAGTAATTATAGTAATGGCCACGGGTAGAGTCAAAGGGTTATGTACATGTGATGTATTGATTCATCTATATGACAAATTAATTATAAATAATATTTTAATTTAAACGAGAATATTCCTAATATACAGAGAAAAAAAAAAAAACTTAGCATTTTTTAAAAAATCATTTGTTTAATGGCTTAGTGTATGAGTGCACTCTTACATCCTCGACAGGCAAAAAATTTCCTTATAAAACATTATTCAAGCTCAATTTATTAAATTTGTTCAATAAATTTAATAAATTGGAGCTCGAACTTTGAACTCAAGAATAAGGTATGAAAATGTTGGATTTCTTTAATTAATAATAATAATTTTGCATATGTATAATATTTTATCATTAAATTACCAATTTAATGATTAAGTATATGTTGCAATATAAATATCAAATTTGACTATTTTTGCTCGAAATATGATATAATGATTTTTGCCTCTTAAGAACTCCTGATATGCAGAGCAGAAAAAAAAAAAAAAAAAAAAAAAAAAATGATATAACTGATTTTTGCCTCTTAAGAACTCCTGAATGATGCAGAAGCAGAAAAAAAAAAAAAAAAAAAAAAAAAAAAAAAAGAAGGAATTAAAACCAGAAGCCTTTTTGTTAGAAGAACCCCAAAGCTTTCAGCTCCTTCTTCAATAATAGTCTACAATTTAGGACAAGTTGAACAAATTTTATGAAATATCACAAGTTGAACAACTTCATCCTCTTTGAGGTATATTGATGAAAATAGAATAAGGATGTAACCTTATTTTAAGTGGTCTGTATTTTATTTTTATTTTTATTTTTTTCTTTCTTTTTTGCAGTTTATTATTAAAGAAAATTTATTCAATTATGTTAATACGTATTCTGCTTCATCATTATTATTTTTTCCATTATCCCCAAAACTTAAATTATATGAATTGAAATGCAACTTCATTATTATTAAATGCTCAGAAGTTGATATCAGTAAAAAAAAAAAGAGAAATGGGAAAGTAAATCACATGAGAGATGTAGAAGATAATGATTTTCATTTAATTAATTATAATTTAGTTAATTAAAAACTTGGTGAAACGACATATCTATGCAACAAGAAATAAGAAACAAAAGAAAGAACAACAGGAAGGAAAAACAAGGCCCTCTTCGATAGAATTTCAGAGCTTTCTAATCTTTCTTCAACAATGGTCTCTAACTTAGGGGAAGTCGAACATTTCTGTGGCGATATGAGAAGAGCTGGTGCTACTTCCCGTAATTGCTGGATGCACCTATTCACATCCTTCACCATTTTCAGTCTTTAAACAAGAAATTGATTAGCAGATGTTGGATTTTCTTTTATTGAATTCTTGAGTTCTTGGTGCCTAGAAATTAATATGGTTTAGGAAGAGGCTTGAGGCTGCGTATTCATATGTGGACGAAGTGGTTTAAAGTCTATTGAGAGTAAAATGGAAATATTGTTAGAGAGATGGAATTAGTCAATGTTAAGCCATCTTAACCTTTAATTAGAATTTATGTTAACGAACACACCTTAATTAAGAAAATTTTCAGTTATTATGTGCAAAAACTAGTATTAAACTCTCATTTGGTTTTTAACTAAAATATTTAAAATAATAATAACAAACAAAAAGAGGCAAGTGATAAGAAATTAAACAAGCATTCCACGTCTTGTACAAGATGTATGGAGTGAGGAGTCTAAAGTTCGAATCATTTTCACTACAAAGGTTATCTCAAATTTAATAAATGTCAGCTAAAAATGAGAAATACATTATCGTATAGTCCACAATATTATTTTGATCCATTAATCATACCAATCAATTTTTTAAAAAAATTTCCATAATTAATTTAAATAGGTTGAGTTGAACTAAACTGAGTTTTTTAAGCTCGAGTTTAGCTTGATAATAAACAAGTTGAACCCCATTAATTATAATTAGATTTGTATAAAACATTAAGCAATAGAGTCAAATTCCGATTAGTTTATGAGCCACTTAGCTCTAAGTAAAATAAATTTTTTATATATAATTCATAAACATAAGAATATATATATATATATATTTGCAAACAAAAAGAATTTTACATTTATTTATTCAAAACATGCATAAATGCATGCACGTTTACACCAAAAAATTTTCCCCCGAGTGTATGATATCAAAGACTTTTAAAGTAATGATAATTTTATGGATAAGCTATTATATCCATGAGGACCAGAGATAGTACTCTAGCTTGTCATTTTCATTTGGAACATTTTCATTACGACAATCGAAAATAATAAAAATGAAAATTGTTAAAGTTTTAACCTTTGACGTTCAAGACTATATATAGGTTTTAACCTTTGACCGTTCAAGGATATATATATATAATAATATATAATATATAATATAGAGGTTCTAATCTATACTTAATTATTTTATTTTTCATATATAGAGGTTTCTTAATTATACTTAATTATTTTAATTTTCACAAATTGAAAAACCTAATTACATATATTGCATATGTATAGGCCTATTCCATATATATGCAAATTCAAGAGTATAGATAAAATATTACCATATTGTTAAAACTATATAAAATTACATAAAAGGGAAATCCATCCTACTTAAACAACAAAAATAAATTAGCATTACAAATGCTTAATTATCTATTATTAATTAAGCACACCCCAGATTATGGTTACGACTATAAGAAGAAAAAGTTTTTTGACCTTGTAAGAAACAAATGGAGTGATGATTTGACAAGATTGATGAAGAACAATTCTGAACATTCATATCCATGCATTCTTCTTCACTTTCTTCTTCATAAATTGTTTCCAAAGTTATTTGAATACCAACCCTATAACCAGAGATTGATCTGGTTAGCCGAGCTGGTGCAACTGCAGCAAATGGAGTCCTTACCGAGGTATTAGGGTTAGGGTTAGGGTTGGACATGAGAGAACTTGACAGTGAGTTTATTGGTAGAGATGGTTGAATTATTCTTGCCATGTTTAATTTCTTGATGAAGATTTCTATGTTCTTGCTTTAGTTAGCAATCAAGTTTTACTTCATAAAGGGAGAGGGGATATTGCTTTTATACATGAATCCCACACTTTAGTTTTGAAGTTATGCACAAGCTATAATAACTAGAATGTCCTTATTTTCTCATATAATCACATATATGCCATTCACGAATAAGATTTTTCTATTTTTTTTTTTTATACTTATTGTTTACAATATCCAATATTATTGTATATCATCAAATTAATAGTTCAATGAACAAATATTTATCTTATAACGTAGAAAATTTCTTATACAACTCCCGACTATCTCTCAGTGGATAGATTTCATCAATCTTACATAAATCTTACCTCATGTGTAAGATCAATGATCCATAATAATCCATAAACATTTGGATAAGAGTGTTTTTTTTTATGATATTCAACTCGTAAATATCATTTTTTCCATATAAAAGTCTCTATCAACTCAAGAAAAAGTTAAAAATCATTTACTCTTTTTTAAAAAGGGAATTCTCTTTACATATATATTTAATATAAACAATGTAAATAGTTCATTATCCACTAAATTAGGGGGGCAAAGCTACGTTGATACGACGGTGGGCAATTGCCCCCCCTCACTTCAAGAAAATATAACATAACTTCATCACTTTGCTCCCCTTAACTTGCATTTTCAATTTTTATCCCCCTTCACAAATATAAATCCTAGCTTCGCGCCATGCTAAATGATATATGGCAAGATTTCTCAAAACACCCACACCAAATGATATATGGCAAGATTTCTCAAAACCAAAGGTAAGTTTTGTTAATGCATAAGGCAGCCTTCTACGTAGGCTTCTAAAAAAGTGTAAAACAAAACAAATCAAATCAAATTGTCATTTTTACTTTCTATAAATAGTTAGTCCGGTCTGAATTAAAATTATAAATCGGTAAAATTAATGATAATAATACATATCAAGGATGACGATGGAGTTAGATCAGAAATTAGAAAACCAATTAATGCAAGAATTATTTTCGTCAATGGAATTGATTATGATCGTTAAAGTGGGGCCATAGAAAATTTAAGCATTGACAACTTTGAAGGAAAAAAGTGCCCTTGCTTTACTTTAAGACTTAAATGCAAGATTTGGATTTGCTCGTTTTAGTGTCGTTTTCTTCTAACAAGTCTTCTTCAAATCCTAGAAACGACATTTGTACGCACCCTGACAGACTGTTATTTTGTGTCGTTCTATAGCTCGGCCACCATATTGATCGATAGGCAGCTGCTACTGCTTTGAAAAAGTGTTATCCAGATTGCTGCTTGTAGTCTATACTTTTGCCCTAGCTTACACGTTGAATGTGAAATTTCTTATATGTTTTATGTCTATAATACATTATTAGATCATCATTCTCATCAATTATATCCTTATTCGGGAGTCAAAACATACACTTGCTAAACAAAACAACAAAATTTCATAAAAAGATGAATGAACAGAAAAGGTTATACTTGTCCTTGCCATATCCTCAACATCATCTTGTGCATGTGCTTTTGCCTACCACGAGTCATTTTAGGGTTTTTGGTTTATCATCATCTACAACTGATTATTGTGGTGTAGAATGGGTGCCAAGAAAATTTCAAGCTAGAAAGTTATTGCTAAGTTAATTGAAAAAATTTTAATTATTCTCCAACAAATGAATCAACAATATGCAAAACTTTTACTATTAATTATCATAGAAGTGTTTTTTTTTTTTTTTTAGAATAGAAAATTTTGAAAGAGGTATTGAATTCTTAAAATCTTCTATATACAAAAAGTAACAATATCGATAACGTGATGAGTAGGTTTACTAATCAATAAGCAAAGTACTTATACCCAATTTGATATGATATAACCAATTTAAAAAATTTCCTCTGGGAGCACTTTTTTTT